TGCGTGTGTGTTCGGGAGGAAGGATAAATTTAACCCTGTTGATGTACGCGACCTAGGGCATAAGGGTGCACACGCTGACGCGGCAGGGCGTCCAATCGGAGGTGGTCCGCGGGGCCCGGGTACGTGTGCGGGTTTGGGGGTTCCTCCCAGTTGTCTTTCGCTTACCCCCCCCCCCCGGCACTGCACCCGCAGCATTGGGCCCCACCGCCACCCTCTCCCCCCCCCCGGGTTAAACCCGCCCTAATCCTCCCCCCCGCAGGTCCAACCTCCGGCGCCTGGACCGCCCCCTCCACGTGTACTTCTGGCAGCGGCTGTTGGGCTCTGGGGCCCGGGTGGCGGATGGAGACCTGGCGGACTGGTACTTCATACCCGTACGCCAGAGGAGGTGCGGAACCCTAACCTAACCAAACCTATGTATGTCGGAACATGTATGATGTGACCACCTTATGTGCTCATCGAGTTTGACCCGGTGATCCCCCGCTTGTGGAGCGCGCGCTCCACCAGTGAGCGAAAGCCCCTGCCATGAGTTGGTTTTGGGGGTGTGCCCATATGTAGCCACATACACAGCCTACTGCCGCCGGTGGCGAGCCGCCGGCGCAATGTGGTGTCCCGGGAAGATCACCCCGCCTAGACAGGGGCTCGTCCTATCTCTCCAGAGGTTCGGGTGGCTGATAAAGTAATAGAGATGAGGGGGGAGCGGAGGTAAATGTGCACAGCAACATCAGCAGACAGGCTGCACAGATAGGCACGCAGGAGGGGAAGGCTTACCTGGGTAACTGGCCCCGAACACAACTTGAAGAGGGGGAAGGGGGGGAAAGGGGGGAAGGGGGGAAAGGGGTGGGGAGGGGAGGAAAGGGGGGAAGGAGGAATCGCGGGATGTGTGTGTACAACAACATGCCACCAACACCATCATCCAGGTTTTCATGGTACCAACCACCAACCACCAACCACCCGCCGACCGTTCGCTGCGTATTTCCAACTTTCCCCGGCGCCACGCACTATACCCCACCCACCCACCCACCCACCCACTCCCACGAACCCTCCCCCCCTCCCCTCCCCGACTGCCCCACTCCCACAGCTTCAGTGACTCCTGGTTTCTCCGTGAGGCCTTGTCGTACATCCGTACGCATCACCCCTGGTGGAACCGTACAGAGGGACACCGGCATATGGTGCTGCACACGGGTACCCCGGGGTATTGGGGGCGAGGGGGGGGGGGAAAAGGGAGTTCAAGGACTCCGGGCCTCAGTGTTCGCTATTATTGGCTGTGATTTCCTGCTTCTGTTGGGACCCCACGGGGCCCCTGAAGGCCCTCTGCCCCGCTTGTTTGTCTGTATGTCTTTCTTTCCCCGCTCTCCCGCTACTCTCCCGACACCGCAACCCCCCCCTCATCATCACCCCTTGCTGTCAGGCGATTGGGGACTGGGGGAGGTGGCGAAGGATGTACGGCAAATGAGCTTGAACGTGACGTGGCTGACACGTGAGCAAGCGACAGACCGGGTTGGTGGACCGGAAGGTGTTGTTGGGGAGGGGCTGGCCGGAGGCAGGCAAACGGAGGGGGTGTCGGAAAGGGGGTTAGGTCTGGTCACAGTGGGTGAGCAGTTGGATGGCGGGAGGTGTACGGTGTTGGGGTGGTGTACGGCAGCAGATCTTCCCGACGCGGCTGGGCACTTTCGATCTTTTTTGGGTCCTCTTCTTCCCGTGTGCTGCCTAGCCGCATTCCGCCTTCCGCATTTCCTTACCCACCCCCCAACCCCCCAACCCCCCACCCCCCAACCCCCACCCAGATTGGGGTTTATCCACCGACCGCCCCAACATTCAGAGGTGGACCCGGGCCTTCCGACCCGAGAGGGTGAGAGGGGGGCGGGCGGCCCGGTGTGTGTGTATGTGCATGTGTGTATAATGTGTATAAGAAGGAGAAAGTGATTCTGGCAGAACAATAATTCTGACAACGCTTTCCCTTCGCCTACTCCTCCCCCCTAACTGCCCCTAACTACCCCTAACTGCTCGTCTGAGTGGGGAAACCCCCATATCATCCCCCCCCCATTTGATACTCTCTTGCCCTGGCAGCAGCTTCAATCGTGTGTGGTTCGTCTTCCCCCCCACCCCCCGCTAACCCCCCCCCATGTATCTATCAGGATGTGGTTATCCCCGTCTACATCTCCCCGGGGCACTTCGTACATTTCGGTATTAACCGCTCTCCGCTGCATCCCGTCACAGCCGCCTCACGCCGTACGGCAGCTCGTCCTAGGAACGAGTCCTTGCTGTTCTTCGCGGGCAGGATATGCCACGACGCCAAGTGGGTGACGGGGTTGGGTGGGAGGAGGGGTGGTGTGCGTGTGTGTGTCTGTGTGTGTGTGTGTGTGTTTTGTACTCATGCGTCCTCTGCGTGTGTTGGGGGTGGGGGAGAGAGCGGGGTGGGATGGGGGATGGATTGGGCAGCGGGGTGCTCTCTTAATCGTGGCCGTACTCACCCCACAAAGATCCTGCCGTACCGTGTGACTTGGGTGGCGTCGCGACGACCGCTGTTGCTGCTGCTGCTTATGCCGTACTAATCGAAACCGGCTCTCCCCACAACCCCCCGGCCATCAGGCGGCCTAACCCCGACACCTTCCCAGCGTGTGGGGACGATACGGCGGAGTGGTACGGCGGGGGAGTACGGGAGAAGGTGCGTTGGTACGGAAATGGTGTGCGGGGGGAGGAGTCCGGGGGGAGTGTATTCATCGGCGCGTGTCGTTTGCAGCTCCATGGGGTGTTTGAGGGGGGGTACTTGCGGGGTGAGAGGAGGGTTTTGGGGGGGTCGATGTGGTAGAGGCTGTGTGTATGTGTGTATGTATGTATGTGTGCGCCCCAAGGGCACGCGACCAGATCAAACCAAGTGGAGGTTCCCTCTCAGAGACGGACACACAGACAGACAAACACAGACACATTGGGTGGGGTTTGCTGACTACTGGGGGCTTCGAGGGGCCCCCTGGGGAAGGGGAAGACGGTAAGGAGCATGAGAGCATGAGGAGCATGAGGAGGGGGAGGGGGAGGGGGAGGAGGGGCGCGGGGTATTCAAGCCAAGGGCAAAAGAGGCGGCAAGGGGTTCCTAGGGGCCGGTCCGGAGGAAAGGGGGACTTGCTGCTGCTGCTGCTGCTACTGCTGCTGCTGCTGCCACCCCAATGAGCATCCCCAACACACCCTGAACTCGGTCGCCTCTCCCCCCGCCGTAACGCCCCCGCGCCCCTCGCTGGTGCTGTTTGCCCCCTTTTTTGTCTCTCTGTCTATGTGTCCATCTGTCTGTGTGTGTGTCCATCTGTCTGTGTGTGTGTCCATCTGTCTGTTTATCCATCTGTCTGTGTGTGTCCATCTGTCTGTCCATCTGTCTGTCTGTCCATCTGTCTGTCTGTGTGTGTGTCCGTCCGCCTGTCCGTCCGTCTGTCCGTCTGTGTGTCTGTCTGTCCATGTATTCTGTGTGTCTCAGTTTTTCGTGTCTCACTGGAACCGCAGCGGGTTCCACGTTGTGCGCTCCGAGCCCCGCTACAGCCACTACATGAGCAGGTCGGTGTTCTGCCTGGCGCCTCCGGGTGCGGGACACGGACAGAGACAAATACAGGTGGGTGGGGTAGGGGGTGGGGTAGGGGGAGGGGTTGGGGGAGGGGGAACGGAGGGGGAGGGGGAGGGGAGGGGGAGGGGGTTGGGGGAGGGGGAAAAGGGAAGGAATATGCATTTTGACACAGTAGGCGACGATGACCTCCTGACAAAGAGCTTCACCTACTCCCGGCAGGGGCAGGGGCAGGGGCAGGGGGAGGGGCAGGGGCAGGGGCAGGGGCAGGGGCAGGGGCAGGGGCAGGGGCAGGGGCAGGGGCAGGGGCAGGGGCAGGGGCAGGGGCAGGGGCAGGGGCAGGGGCAGGGGCAGGGGCAGGGGCAGGGGCAGGGGCAGGGGCAGGGGCAGGGGCAGGGGCAGGGGCAGGGGCAGGGGCAGGGGCAGGGGCAGGGGCAGGGGCAGGGGCAAGTGGATATTCCTACATACACCGAGCATTTACCGAACCTTGGCATCCCTCTGGGGCCCCCTCTACTCCTTCCCCCCGGCCCGTAGGCCCTGTTCATGGGTTGCGTTCCGGTGACGGTGGCTGACGGCGTGTACGAGCCCTTCGAGCCCGCACTCAGCTGGGAGGAGTGGGGGCTGCGGATAGCGGAGCAGGATATACCCCGGGCGCATGAGCTGCTGGGGGGGTTGACCCGGGAGCAGCTCGCGGAGAAGCAGGTGCGGCTCCAGGGGGGTTACCTGGCGGCGTGCTGCTCGCTGTTGGAGGTTCTAGCTTGGGGTTGAGACGAGCTCCGTGCTGGGTGGTGGTGCTGTGTGTGCTCGTGGTGGTGGTGGTGGCGGTGATGGTGGTGGCATGGGGCCCCCTAAACCGCATCCTCTAACCTGACTGACGCCTCGCAGCAACAGCAGCAGCAGCACCCGCTCTAAGTGGTTTTGCCCCCCTGGCTTGTCACCTGTTTGTTTGCGGTTTTTAGTCATCGTCAGCCCACATTCGTCTGTAGTGGCGCATTGACCCATGCCTCCTCGTGTGTGTGTGTGTGTCCTGTTGATGGTGTGCGTCTGTGTGTATTTTACCCCTCCCTCCTCCCGGTGGCTTCCTCTCGCGGTGGCGCCCCGCAGTCCCGGATGCACTGCGCCGCGCAGCACATGCTGTACAGCACTATCACAGGTGCCGTACTTGGGGAGGACGGCCGGTACGACGCCTTCGAGACGACGCTGGAGGTGCTCCGCGTGCGGGCCGCGCATCCAGATGCCCCTCAGCAGGACTTCAGGCGACTGGATCCGGATTTTGCGGCCTTCATGGATTGCCGCCCGCCCCCCGGGTTCAAGTGGCTGGACGGGAAGGTGGAGCGGCGCACTCCAACCTCAACAGGGGGGACAACGGACACGAAGGCGGGCAAGCCGACCGATAGCAGCGGGGCTAGGGCTAGGAGTAGTCAGGGTCAGGATCAGGATCAGGCAGCACTGGCTATAGCAGCAGCCGCGGTGGGGCAGAGTGTAGTGTCGGCAACAGGAGGGGAGGTGGGATCCGGGTTTGGATTTCATTCTGCGGCCCTCGGAGACGCCCAGTCTGAGGGGAACTCATCTCTCTATGGGGCCGAGCGGGTGGTGGTCGGGGATGGGGAGGGGGAGGGAGAAGAGGGGGCCCTGGCAACAGTTGGGGGTGATGACGCGGGTGGTGCGGGCCGGGGGGACATTGTGAATGTCGGCGTTGTTAACGGGACCGGGACCTCCGGCAGCTCCTTCTTCCAGAATTCCTCCTCCTCGTACACCCTCCCTCCCCCTCCCGGCACCGGTCTGGTCCCCGGTCTCTGCAGCCACGCCGCCCGGGACCTGCGGTTCCGGGAGCGGTCTTGCTACCAGGTCCTGCGGGGCGGGGGCTACATGGGGGTACCTGGGGGGGCCATGTGCGCCAAGGGGTTCAAGACACGGCTGGCGGCATGTCCCCGGCTGTGGGGCTGACAGCTGGGTAGGGGGGTTGGGGCGGGGAGGGGCGCTGGCGGACTGGGGGAAGCGTACGACAACTGGGCCGTGCTGAGAGAGCTTTGGGGCGCTGGGGGAGGAGGGACAGAGCGTCAGAAGTGGAGGGGAGCTTAATGAAAAGTCCTTGTCCTGAGGAGTATTCCTCTTACAACTATTTACCGAATTACATGTCACCCCTTGCCATTTTGGCGGATGGGGCTGACTGCCATCACACCACTCACGGAGGGATAGCGGGGAGATGGGAGCGGTACTACGAACCGGGTGTATGGCTCGTGGACGTCACCTCTATCATCATAGACTGTGTTGACCGTCCCGCGTTGATGTTGGGCCAACCAAGCTGTGGTTGAACTGTGTGCACCTCTCAGGCAGATTAGTATAGCGATATTGGCGCCAGCACCTGACACGTGACTGTTATACGTACATACAAGAGCGGCTCTGCAATGTCCCCTGTATGATGTGTGGGACAGGGAGGTATATCTTCACCCGTGGCCGCTACCTGGTGAAACCCTGCCTTCCACGGTATTTCGAAACACCCTCAACTAGTCACCCTAGTCAACTTCTCAGGGGATCGCTCAGATTCCGCACCCATCAGCAGCATCCAATGGAATCTGCCGGATCGACGGCGGCACAACTCCATTCCTGGTCGGCTCGCAGGCTAACTTTATACCAGGTCACCACCGTCCATCGACTAGGGGCACTCTACCGTCTACCATCGGAAGGATTTTCTACCCTGACAGGTCTCGATCCCGGGATCTCCCGGGGGCAATGGTCCGTGCCTTACCAGTAGTGCCTAACCTAAGAAAATATGGATGTTCATTGTAACGGCTACCGAACACTTTTACCGAACAACCGAAGAGCACAGGTGATTTGAGTTGGTCCACCCATGGACTGCCCAGGAATGCGCTTCGAACAAGAGTTATCACATCTGTACGTCCCATATGTCATTAGACCATGCAGCACAGTTCACCGCCACGACTAGCTGTTTGTTGCCGTTGGAAGCCATCGCTTATCATCCTCAGCGCATATCGGCTGATGAACATCTCCTCCTCCTCCTCCTCCATGCGGCGTCAAACTGCGGACCTCCCCCCTCACCAAGTCCTACCCTCCATGTCCTCTGCGGTGTATCATTACCACTTGCCACACCCCGTGGGGGGGCCCCAGGCGGGGTGCTACACCTCCATAGCCGTGCCGTGCCGTACCGTGAGGCCGAGGAGGTGGGGGCATCCGTGTCCCAGGGCGTAGTACTGCTCAGATGGTCAATACATACATATATACTCCCAAGTACGAATAGCCTGGCAGGTCACCGCCGGCTGCAAAAGTCCAACGTTAGGATCCACTATCCTGAAGAGCCTCTTGTGCATTTCCCCGAATTTATGCATACATGCATGTAGGCAGTTGTTTTGTTAGTCATCGTGAGTTCCAGTGTTTTTTTTTCATTTTTGCCCGACAATTTTCCAGTCCGAACGGAGGAATAGGTTTTTAATCGGGGGAATTAAGGTATTCCGAATCTGTCAGGCGCTGGGGGGGGCTACGCCCCCCCCAGACCCCCCCCAATGAGGTTTTGTTTTGTTCGTACAAACACAGGGTTTGGGGAATGTCGCAACACGCGCACACCACAATCTCTCCATAGAGGTGTCTCTTGCACGCCAGGAAGCGGGGGCCACTTGGACGCTGCACGGGTGACTGCTGTTGCAGAGCCCAAGCAAACACACACCAGTTAGACCCTACTCAAGCACTGATCAAATAGAGTTCGTTCGCCGTCGTTCATTTTGCATCACGTTGAAAGATAACACTATACGACTTTCCAGATTGCAAAAGTAATGATGCATAGCAGCAATGAACCAGAACCGCCAAACACAGTTGGTTGCGGCCCCTGCTGTTGATGCTGCATGCTAATTAGCGGTTCATCATGTACCGGCTTGCTGATGACAACAAGAGTGGCATCATTGTCGTCGGCTGGCTGCAGCATTGCGTCCACATTGCCTACGGCCTCTAGGCCGTCTTCATTACCGTCGCTAATGGCTTCAGTGAAGTTTAATATCTTCTTTAATGGCCTTCCACGTTTTGGGAGCTTCGGGTCCGAATATTTTGCAGCATTTGGTCCGGTCAGAAAAAGTCCGATTCCTCGTTGACTTTCGGGCGTGACCTTCCTAACAGTATCCATGGCATTAAAGTACTATAATATGGTTAACATGTTTGTCTCCTGTAAGATTCTAGTGGCTTTGGCATGGACAGCCCATTTTTGGCTGGAGGAATGAACTTGTACGGTCGGAACATTATTTATTCTTAATTTCCAGGACCGCGAACATTTTTTTATTCCGAATTCGGAATATATTCCGCAAAAAAAAAACACTGGTGAGTTCGTTTCTTAAGAGCTGCTGATGGCCAAGCGAACTCTTATGAACAGGCTTATGGTCTCACCACCTCTGGCCGCCGTCCCCGGTCAAATATTTGACACCCAGACACAGAGCCGACCATCAGCCAGCTGAAATGCTAGTACCTGGCGCTGCTGCTGCTGCTGCCCACCACAGCACCGGGCCAGTCAGCCCGCATTGGCCCTTAGGGCCCCCTCCGCCCTCCATCATACAGAGCCGACAAACGCCTACAACAACTACAACCGCATGGCTGAACCTTTCTACCCGGCGGTAGCGGAACTCGGCGCCTCTTCCCCAGACGGCAGAATTTCTGATCCCAGAATGACGACAGCCTTGAGTGGTTTGCCGTACTTTCGCCGTACGGTTGCTGCCCGGTCGTCCCCGATCGCCGCCGCCAAGCTGTTGAAGGCCAGGCTGTTTCCCACCGGGGAGGGTCCGAACACGGGCACTTGGGCCACCTGTCCCACCACCGACATACCCTCCACCACCCGACCAAACACGATATTCTGACCGTTGAGGCGAGGCACGGGACCGGGACCTGAGGCCAGGAAGTTGAGGGGGCGGACGAGCTCCGTGATGACGGTGACGATGACGGGGAGAATGGAACGCAATGGCGGGACGGGATGAGAGCCGAATACGTTTCAAACATGGGCTACTTTATCCACTAAGCATAAGAGGGCATGTGGGAGAGTTTTACGTACTAGGGAGAGGCAGCAAATTTCCACCTCCACTGGACATCGCGTCACTCCGCCGCCGAGTGAGGGGGAGTACCACTGCAGCGGAACCACCTCCCCTACTCGGGTGCTGTTTTGTTTCCTCTCCGAAACAATCTCCCAATGAAATCTAGTCCACGTCACGTCAAACCGTCAGATCAACCCGTCCGGCACCCCTCCCAAAGATGGGCCGTGAGCGCCCCCGCCCCTCCTCTCTTAGGGCTCACTCACTGGGGCCAGTTTCGGACCTCTTGGACACCGCCGTGTCAGCACTCCACTTAGGGTTTTCCCAATTCCTCGCATATGATTTCCCCTTCCCCCCCTCCCCCCCCCCTTTTCTCCCCCCACCTGTGGTGATGAGGAACTCCACGGGCCGGTACTCGGGTCTCAGTCGCAGTGAGGGCTCTTCGTCGTTCTCGCCCAGGGCCAGAGACACAGTGCCGGGACGGTAGTGGGGCAGACGGAAGGCGGAGGCCTCGGACACCTCGGTATTGGGCTGCGGTGTGGTGCGGCGGCAGGGGAGGGAGGGATGGAGGGAGTTGCAGGAGGAGTGCAAGAGAGGAAGGGGAGGAGGAGGAGGCCAGATTGAAGGGGAGAGGGGCAATTCGCGGCAGCGGCAGCAGCAGTGGCACGGGAGGCGATGGGGGGCCCTGGGAGTAAGTCGACGGGGAACGGGCGCAGAGACCCCCAAGCGGACTAGAGGGATGGGAAGGTCTTTCCTCCCTTCACAGCGCTGAAGCGCAGCGGACCAGCGCCCAAAACCGATTGGGATTGCAAGGATTGCCGCACAGGACAGAACACACCACCGCAACCCAGCCCAGCCCATCTCCTCCTTTTAGCTCAGCTCACTTCTCCGGTGCTGCCGCCGACGGTGCTGCCCTACCTCACCTCCCCCTGCACTCACCTGCACAGAGGCCGGCACCTCCACCGCACCCAGCCTCCGGGCCCCTTGCTTTCCCGCCTGGATGTACTCCCCTGCCAGCACCCGGCTGAAGGTGGTGCCAACCAGGTTGCCGCTCTCGACCAGGGCGAGGAAATTGGACACCGTGCGGGGTACGGCATTGCCGTACAGACCTGCAGAACACAGCGAAACCGCGTGAAGGACGCGTCAGCATATCAGCCTTCATCCCCCCGACCATCCTTGACGCCCATCTGCAGCAGCAGTTGAGGGTGCTGAGGATGTGGTCACCATGTGCCCCTCGCTCGTGGCGCTGAGCCGCGGAACTGCATCATCACTGCACGACATTAAAATCCTTCGCATCCTCCATCGCTTTCGTTTCAGTTTCAATCTTCCCGACTTGGAAATGCGCTGTCACACAGCACAGGCCGTGTAGATTTTCCCTCTTCCCCCCTTCCCCCCGCCTCTCCCGCTCCCTCTCCCTCCTCACCAATGACCAGTCTCCCTATCGGTGTAGCTTCCGGGATGATGGACTTGTCCCCGATGGTTCGTTCCTCAGCCCGCTTCAGGGCGGTCGCGGCGATACCGATGGTCAGGGCCACCTGGCGAGTAGAGCGGACCAGCCGGGAGAGAGGGGTAGTGCGATAGGGCGGAGGTGGGATGATGAGAGTATCCGTGTGTTGGGGTTTTGGATACAACAGATGTGAACCGGGGTCAGAAGCAGGTAGGTAGTGATGTTGGGTTGGGAAGTGCGTGGGGAGGGAAGGGGAGGGGAACATAGACACTACTACTCCAATAGACACACAACACAACCAAACAGGCCCCTTTTCGCCATATCTGATCGGAGCGGTGTACGGTTGTGCGTGCAGGTAGGCGGCGGTGCGCCAACTGGAGAGAGAGAGAGAGGTCCAGCTGATGGAAAAGACCGCAGACTGCACATTGCCCCTCCGCTCCCTCCGGAGTCGGCAGGCCGCCAGGTCCCTCCCACTTTGGAGACATGGCTCCTGGCTGGCGACTTCCAGTTATCATGAAGCCCGCCCCCATGGCATTACAATGCTTCTGGGGCAAATTGGGGGCAGGATCTGGAAAGCGATTACCGCCGCAGCACTAATGGCCAGCTGCGAATGAAACCCCTGATTCCACGCATATAACCTTCCCCAACATCAAGACTATGCAATTGAACACCAAATTCTACTTTCCTACCGCCCTACCCACTCGGTGTGTGATAGTGGTGTCCACTTCATCCCGACCGCTGGTGGAGGGCTGCGTGTCAGAGTCAGCGGCGGCGAGAGCGGGTCGTGTTCTCGCCAGCATGGTGCCCAGGAGGGCTGTGTTGAGAGCCGCTGTCGGTAGTGCCACCAAGACCTCACGGCGTGTCGTTGGTGCAGAAGAGTGAACAAGGAGTGAGGAGCTGAAGTTGAGACAGTTGGAACATTCCGCGCCAGTTGGTGCGGATGCCGGAGAGGGAAGATCGCCTGCCCCAATTGACTTCGGCAATGCATGCAATATTACTGGTTTCTTGAGCTTCCCGTTACATGAAACGGGACGTAAAGCTGATGTTTTTGCTTTGGAAAGGAACATGCTTGAATTTGGTTGGGAAAGGGCACACAAATTCCTTGATTCGGGACGTTCTGTAGGGCAGGTTCATGCAAAACTTCCGTGACTCATTCACGAATTCAATAACGCCTACAAAGACGAGTCTGCCTGTGCTTGCGGTAGGAGCATGGCACCGAGACCACAATCTCTTGCCGTACGTTGGATCAGTTTCTTAGTGCTGAGCGAGCGCTTGTTGCAATTAGTCCAGGACAGCCGCCTAAGACTCCACAGTGAAAATGGCCCTCGCCCTCGCCAACCGCCCTGCCCTGCGCGCCACTGCCGCGGCTCGCCGCCCGGCTCGTCGCACCGTTGTGACGAAGGCAAGCTTTTACCGTGTGTCGTTTGCTCTTTAACTTCATTGGGGATATTACCTATGTCGTTCCCTTGCACATTTAGGATCGCGTATCTAGGTTAGCAGGGATTAGCGACAACGCAAGCGTATGCAGTTGGTTTGCCGACGGAATTTCCTTTCATATCTAATTGATGGTGCTTGTGTGAGCGCCCTTCTATATACTGCCAGTTCATGGTCACCTGAGTTCCAATCCCTTGCATTCCCAGGCGGCCCTGGACCCGGCGCTGGTGATCAGCGGCAGTACTGCTGCTTTCCTGGCTGTGGGCCGCTTCGTCTTCCTGCCCTACCAGGTGCGAGCCGATTTGATTTTGACTATGCCAGCCTAATTGCTTCTTGAGCTGTCGGTTACATGCCGCTTCATGTGCAGCTTGTGCAAAGGCGGTAAATGTAGCTGATCCTTTGTCGATGTGCATGGCTCGTTTCCCTGTCCCGCAGCGCCGTGAGGCCAACTTCGACGCCACTGTTGGCCCGAAGACGACTGGCACCACCTACTTCGATGACCTGCAGAAGACCAGCACCGTCTTCGGCACCAACGACCCGGCTGGGTAAGCTCAGAGGGGATGGGCCGCTTGCCTGCAAATGAAACTTACGGCTACTCGGTAGTGCGTTGTCCCCCCCCAAATTGCTCATGTGTCTCTCTCGGTACGATTAGTCGGTCCCTCTGTTACACGACTATGAGACATCTGCACTACAGCGGTTAGGTATTCAAATTCTCCAGCAACATTTTGTTTACATTCAATTTGGACCGTGTCATGGCCGGACTTTATTGACGGACCTTCCATTCCATTTTCCCCTCTGCCCACTGCAGCTTCAACATCATCGACGTGTTCGGCTGGGGTGCTCTGGGCCACGCTGTTGGCTTCGCCGTTTTGGCCATTAACTCGCTGCAGGCGTAAACTGGGCATTTAGCTCACCAAGCTTGCTACATCGAGTTGATGATTGGCTAGTGAACAGAACGTGAGAGCTTATATACACCATAGCTTCTCATGTGGCTGGTTCAGCCGCCGTAGCGGTGTGTGCACGGGGAGGCGGTTGTGAGGGCTCAAACGTGAACTATCTGAATGTCTAGGCTCATGCTGCTGTCGCTGCTGGGCTTTTACCAAGGGATATTCAGCCGTGAAACCTTCCATATGGTGATGCTGGCACCTGCAACATCGTAGGGTGTCCGGACAGCATGCCATGCCGCTCGACTGGTGTGTCCTGCGGGGCCAACAGCCTGGCAGGAAAGCGGGCGAACCGGGAACGTCGTCATGTCTTGGCGTGTTCCATTGTAACTTTGGGGTGACTCAGAATTCATTTGCAAAAAGTGACCAAGAGATTCTGGGCCCCACAAACCACCGCCCGCTACAACAATTAGCCTTCCAAATATGCATGCGGATCAATGAAGATTGGGTAAAACGTCGCCCCTCGCATATCTTTAGACGTCAAAGATGCGCAACTGAAGCAAACAGATCCATTCAGGGGTACAACTGGTTTCGAAGCATCGCGCTTTTCATGTCTACTGCAAGTCCTTAAGTAGTCTTCGAACAGCTTGTCGTACACGCCCGAACGCTAACGGAGCCAAGTGTAAGGTGCTTGTCTTCAGGGGCACACCTACTGAGTGGGGGTCGCTCGTGGGTTACGTGTATCGGCTGGGTGGGGAGATGTTGCGTGTATTGCCCCATAATGAAGCGGCACAGTACCTCGGGATGCACTAAGCGACAGGCCAACGGTTTACCGCCTGCACTAACCAGCTACTTGCGGCAGGGATACATGCCACTCTGGGCCTCTGTCGTGACAAGGAAAGTGCTGTACCCAAGCTCAACTTGGCCCTTCATAATGCACTAGTCGTGCCTGTTCTTTCCTACGGAGTGCAAGTGTTGATCCTGTTTTATTAATGTGAGCTTCGAAATTGCCATGACAAATCCTATGGTCCAGGAGCAGCGCGCGTTCATGTGGACGGTGGTAGGGGCCAGGAACCCAACTATGCTTCTGCTGTACCGTGAGTTGTCACCGAGGCCACTACAATTTCATTGGGCTGACTTAGTGCTTAGATTTTGGAAATCCATAGTGAAAAAACCGGGCACTCAGTGTTACAGAGCTTCTGTCGCTGACCTGGGCCTGGCACTTGGCTGCAACACTAAATTTTGGGCAAGCAAGGTCACGACCTTTCTTACCAGCCTGGTTGTAAGCCCCCCGGCTGATTTGCGTGGGGATGATCTGTTGGCACATTATCCCACCCTCAAGCTGCCCCAGGGAAGCATCCTGAGGGACTCTCTGAAGAGGCTTGACACACGTTGGATGTGCTTGGGTGAACCCAGGGAGTTCCCCGCGGGGGTCAGCGAGGCCAAGGCGTGTCGTTACTATAATTGGATGGGGGCACTGTGAGGGGGCACACCCTGGGTGGCTCACTGACAGGGAGACCACCCTCCCCCAGCGATTGCACCAGGTCCTTATATGCTGTAGGTTGGGATGTTGGGAACTAGAGGTAAATAGGCCCCACGACCATGAGCTTCTGGCGTGATGTCTGACTACTAGTGCTGCCATTGCCACTACTTCAGACACCTTCAGGACTGCCTGGGATGAGCCACACAGCTGGCAACCACCATGATGCTGTGCACACCAGCCCTGGCAATAGCCTATTGGGATGAGTTCTTCTTTGACCCCTGAGCAGTTTGGGTGCTGAGAGGCACTAATGGAGATGTTTCCTCTTTAGGCGGGACATCGGTCTCTTCCAGCTGTCATCAGCAAGTTCTTCATCAGCCACTCGGCATCCACTCGGGAGGCACTTGGAAGGGAGTGAACGACCTGGGACCCCTGGGACTCAGGACATCATACAACCCATCAGCTTGACCACACACACATATACATACACTCTCTTGCACTTGGATGTGTCGGACCGTCTGTCTTGCAGCCACCCTGTGGACCACTATCAGGCTACCGCAGCTCGGTCGGCATCATGAAGGCAGCTGCTGTTTACATATTGTTACTTGGTGTTGGGACAACAGCGCTGTGATTGAGCTGAACTTGAAGGCAGTGACATACAGCTATAATATAAAAATTAGTAGGCTAACTGTCGAGAACGAGAATTCGCCGATCTGCACCTTACCAACACACCTGTATTTGCAGCTGTTGCGCACCTTAAACGGACGCCGTACAACCTAGCTGGCCTCTGACAAAAGGCACCTCGCATAGCACTTCCAACTCCTTTAGCACTTCTGTCCGGTATATGATCGCTGGCTTTCACCCAACGCATGAGCCCCTCTTTTTGGCCTGTTCCACCTCTGGTGCGTCCGTAAAAGCTGCTAGCTTCCTGCATATGACCAGCAAATGAGGAAGCCTGAACAGCTGCGCGGCGCTCCAAGAATTTGCTATGGACCTTGCAAACGTTTGCAAGGTACTATTCGTTGCAAAACCTTCACGCTGTAGCGGGTACGACACCGAGGTAAAACCTTCGAGATCAAGCAATGTGATCATGTGACGTATATCCAGTCTATCTGCGTGCTGTCTTACGGACGGACGCAGCCTCAGGGTCTAAACTCAAGAACAGAAGCCGTAAGGACGCTGGCTGCTGAAAATAATGTATGCTCGTAGGGGAAGGTTGGCTCCTACTTCCACTTCGACGGCATCTGCCACATTCTTTAGCATTTACATTCATGTTTCCAGAATTAACGAACTCGCTCAGAATTAACAAACTCGTTCGCTCCGTACCTAGACAAATTCGACGTGTGTTGCCTGCTAGTAGATGCATTCATTGTCCAGTGGACCCATTCTGTTCACTTTACTAGGTATCAGCTAAACCATCGTACTTCCTATGTACAGAAGAAACCCACTCCTTCCACTCCTATGCTTACATCCGCAATCAATCCCACAAATATCTTCCGTCCGTATCAGGCAGCAGATGCAAGCCCATGTCAACGAGCTTCGGCAGCGGTTCGACTCCTTCCCATAGAGAGAGAGCAGGCAACGGCTCTCAAACCGCGCAATCCTCACAGGAAAATTTAAGCAACGTCTGCGCTAGGCACATTTTGCGGCTCATATTTCTCCAACTTCTTGCGCAACGCTGCAGCCTCCTGGCTCTTTGCCTGCATCAATTGCTTCATCTGTAGGAAAGGCTTGCTCTCCTGCAGCTTGCCGTGAATAGCGTCGGTCGCAGCCCTGAGCTCCTTGTCCTTAAGGGCCAGTTGGTTTCGAGCGGCCTGGGCGGGGGAAGTGGAGCCACAACAAAAGTGGGGCTTTTTAAAGTTTTTCTTTTACTACGACATGGCAATGGTCAATCGAGTGATCTTGCTCATGCCATCGCCACGCGTCCAAGTATTAGGTTTGCACTTGGTACGGTTTGTAATTTCCTTGCTTCCCTGATATACCCTACCACCTACGAATTACAAAATCTGGGCAGGACAACTAACACCGGTAGAGGAGTAGCCAAGCGGGATTCCTCAGCAGCAAATAGGCCCCAAGCCGTACTCGCTGCTAATGTTTCGGGTCTTTTGTCTGGGAACCCTGCGTGTGGAACTGCAATGGAACGACTCCGCTACCCACCATCCACCGCCAAGCGGTGGATGTCCTAAACACCGCGACTATTTCTCGCGTGCACATGCCTAGCACCTTGGGCAGACATTTACACTGGTAAAAACTGTTTTCAGCTTCTCCCAAGATCCCAACAGCACGAAAATTGCAGGTTAGCATAATAGTAGCTCACTGCCCGGACAAAGATACACAAGCAGGGCCATGGACACCTTGGGGGTTGAAGAACATCTTTCTGCATCTCTGGATCCGATCTGACTTCCATTCGTCAAGGCAGCGAGGCAGCCAAGACTGTCCCACTGCCCTATCGGAAATCCTCCTTATTCCCACATCGCTGTGCCCTTCCTACCTGCAGCTCATCCATGCACGCAGCCACCTTGAAACTCAGCCCGCTTGCGTGCTTCTTCAACTGCTCCATCTCGGCCGCCGTTATCTGCGACTTGCTTGTTGCCGATGCGGACAACTGCTCCATTTGCTTCTGCAACTTACCGGCGGAAGCCTCGTTTCCCGCAAGCGCAGATGCTAGAGCCTTATCCTTGGCAGCCAACTCGTCCTTCATGTCGTTTATCTGGGTAGATGAAAATGCAGGTAAGGTAACCGAAGGAGTCCGTCAGTGGGCCGTTTCGAGTCCATAACACGGGGCCGTCAGATGGCGGCTGGCCTCGGGAACCTCGGGAACCAGGACCACTAAAAGGATGCAGAGAGCACCTTGCACGCGCGACGCATCTAACGACCGTAGTACAACCAGATTAGTCGTCAAGAAGCTAAGCGTTTTTTTGTATACCAAGCAACATAGGGGCACACGTCCAAACGCATCGTGTCGCCTTCCTACATACCTGCGCGGAGGTCACGCAGGTATGTATCACGACGCCATTCACTCGCAGCAACCTATAGGACAAACAAGGCTCACTACTCCGCACCTGGTGGTTCAAGGTTGTGCGCTCGCGCATCATTTTTGTCGTCTCCTCCTGCAACACAGCCCCGCGGGAATGTACGCAGTATGATGTGTGGGACAGGGGGGGTATATCTTCACCCTGCGGCCGCTACCCTGCGAAACCCTGCCTTCCCCGGTATTTCGGGGCACCCTCATCTAGTTACCCTAGTCAATTTCTCAGTGAATCGCTCAGGTTCTGCACCCACCACCGGCGTCCTGTATGTCTTTCAGCCAATACACCGAGATCTACGACAGCTGGAAATCGACTTGCTATCGCAAAAATTCCTGTGCACATGTGTAATAACCTCTTTGTAAAGAGATGGCTGCTTTTTCACGATGTGCAGATGTGTATAGCCCACCAGTGACATATTGCGGATTCACATTTATTTATCTGTACGTTTCATCAACACGCATATTCACCACCGGGATCTATCCCCATGCGTACATTTAGTCGGTGCGGTGCCATCCATGTCAGCAGGATAAATCCACAGAGCTTGCTTTGCCAAAGCTTTCTCATGCTGCTTCCCCTGACTTCCCCTCTGTGGTAAACCTCAAGTGTACTGCGTAATCTTCGTAGGTTATGCATCCTTTAGGTCGACAACTGTTCGGCTCCAATGCATCATGCTGCATCGCCTTCCTATGGAGCTCAAAAGACCTTCGAGCTTTGAGGCGCCGCTGTGCTCGGTGGCAATGGACCTCACGCCTCGCGACATTTCCACCCACTGTAATAGTGCGGGGCTTTGTAGGCGATTTTTCTCAAATCTTTTCATGTAGCTGGAGAAGGCTTTCTCGACCTTTTTGATGGAGGACATTTGCGAGGGCAAATCACCAGAAAAGCAACCCCTGAAATAGGTCGAACTAGGTCGCTGCTGTCGCACTGAATGGGCATACGTATAATCGCCTACAATGCGGGTACAAAGTCCAAAATTGCATACTGGCATAGGATGGTCGCCACCGACGACACCTGAATCTATCCTCCGGGGAAGCTGGCCATGCATTCTGTCCCAATCAATGGAAATCGGGTATAGCGGCAGTCTGCCTTAACACGAAACCGCCCTCAACGTCGGCACAGTTAGTTCCTGCCCTAAAACCTCCGCGAGCTATCATGAGACAGTCCGGCTTGGCAGGGGTGGAGCGGCAGGGGTGGAGCGGCAGGGGTGGACACTATAGCCCACTGGGCCCCGGGGAGCCCTGTTTTTTCATAACGTTCTCGTATCATGTAACTAGGGGAACGCGCGCGCTGGAGATTGCTCCGATTGTTCAATATTGTCACGATACAAAGCGACCCACCTGCAGCTTCATCAAGCGCTCCTGAGCCGAAGCCAGATCCGCCTTGAGCTTGTCCCGCTCCGTGATTAGGGCTGGGTCCTGGGGGGTTACAAGCGGCCGACGAGGAACCCGTCCATACACGTTACGTGGGCAAATCTCCCCCAAACGCTCTCAAAAGTTTGGAACACGTTCCGGCTACTTGTCCGATGTTCCAGATCTTCGCCAAACTTCGATATCCATTCAGTGAAGAACTTCACCAGCCATGTTGTCCCTGGCTTTGTCGTATATCATTAACCCCTGAACCCAAAAAACCAATCTTTTGCTTCGCCACGAATTACGGTATATAATATATTACGGTAATACCATCATGAACCTAAGCACAACACACGAAACAGGGCTCAAGGAGGCATAAAGGTACAAAACGTCAGTATCAGCCAAGGCAAAAGTAGAACCCAAAATCTAAGATCTCGAATACACCACGTGTTCGGAGAGCCAACAGCGGAAGGGAATCAATGCTCTAGGTTCCCAACAGTAAGCTACGAAGCTGCAACAAGCAACCCGCGCACAGAGGCAATCCCTCGATGTTGTATCACGACTACAGAAAAGCACCGATCGGCGGATGCAGATCCCCTGATACACCCTACAGGATACAACACTCGACACTTTGGCTACCAACAGCTCGCTTTTAGCACATGAACACCTCGCCCCGCAGAGGCTCGCGAGGGGAAATGAAGGGGAAACGCGCACAGCCAACGACAGCCCAAAGACCCAACATATTTGTCGGCTGTGTTGTAGGAAAATAACGTTGTTGTTTCACAACGTTGAATACAAGTGTCAGTAAAAACAAGTATGGTAACTTTGCTCCAAAAATTTATATGTGCGGACATATACATTTTCGACAGCCTGTAATGACAACACAGTCTTTAATCTTAAAACTAGTACGACACCTTTAAGTGTAGTAGTACGGCACCTGTAAGTGCAGCACATTACTCTGATAGCAATGAAGCGAAGCAGAAGTCTTCTTTCATTATTTCAGCATAACTGGATACCACAATGCTCATCCGCATCCGCATCAGGGTCAATACATCACACGCGCCATCCTAATCATGCGACATATGGCCATGCGCACACACACACACTAACCGCACGCACCTGTGTGACCATCGTGGCAACGGCTCCCAGCTTGCCCAACGCAGCATTTTTTCGTTGCAGAAAATCCGAGGCAGGCCGCGATAGTGCAGTGACCTCACTGGAGCTGATCTGCAGGTATACATAGAGGTGTGGCCGTGCAAACCGATGGATGGGGAAAAACGGTCGTACACACGGCCGTTGGGCTGAACACACCGTCCCAACGCTTTGGCAAACACACATCTTAACGAAAAGGGCAGAACACATGTACACGCCCAGGTTAGGTAGCAGATCAGTCAGGAAGGAGGACGACAAAGTGTCATTACATCCGGCGTGGCGTTTTCACATGCCGCACCTGCTTTAGCAAAAACTCGTTCTCCAGCGCGTGAGTGTCTACAAAAAGGTCTGAGCCCTGAGATTGGGCCTGGCTGAGCAAAATTTTTACCAGCAGAGCGTTGGCGTGGTAGGCGTTTTGGATTTCCTGGGTGCATCAGCAGCACTTCACGTCAGAAGCTAGGGACCAGCAGGCACTCCGCAAGCACAGGATAGATAGTTAACAGCCAGTCATGCAAGATGAAGCCACGCAATACAGCTAAATTGCGACTGGACTCAATATAGCTGTCGCAATAAGGAGGACAACGTAAAATTTCGGATTTACGCGACTGCTGCGCGAACTCAGGTCCTGACAGCGCATACGGGTAAGAGGAGAGTTAATGCCCACTCGTGGACTGCACACCACCAAGAGTTTTTTATGCATTAATTTAAGGGACGAGTTATGAGGATGCTAACGGTACCACACCTTGTCTACAAGTTGCTTCGTCTCCTGCTCGAGCTCCTGGAATAACTGGATTACTTCCTTGTAGCTGTACATCTCCTATGTTGCCAAGTGATCATATCATAAAGAGCAACGCGACGCCAAACAATCGGACATCTGTAACGTACCCCCTGATGAATGTGCTCTGCTTTAAAGTCATTAATCGTAGAAACAACCTCTCGTACGTGTTGGTCTCGTTTAAGTTTTGCGAAGCGCAGGTAAGCCTGCACTTGCAGCTCACCTTCTTCCGATAGTGTCAGAGACATTGCGGGAACCTGTATTCTATGAGTATACAAAAGAGCAGCTCCGAATTTTATTCGCACTGATGTATGGACATGTTACAATCCAAGCTTCTCAAGCACGGACGAGCCATGAAAACCTAAGCCCCACGGGGGTCTTATGCTAATGTTAAATGTTGATGTCCATCGTGTACGTTTACGAGATCTATCCTCTGAAACGCCTTTTATAACGTTACGGGGCCTGTTATTTTGTCAGCTCGAATGTCCCGGCGGGTGTCTTTTTTCCAGTGCGCTGTTACGGGGCCTTTTATAACGTTACGGGGCCTGTTATTTTTCTCAACTCGGATGTCCCAGTCGGGCGTCCCGGCAGGTGTCTTTTTTTCCAGTGCGCTGGCGATGGCGATCACTGTCCAAAGCTTTGTTTGCTGCTGCTCGGCTGCGTGGAGATGCTTTTTAAGTGCATAAACCTTTCGACAGGTGGTTTCAGGCACAGCAGTCCATGCGAGCTAATGGTAGCCCGCCGAGGCGTCACTTTTCCCAGAGCGTGTAAGGCCCGCTGTTATACAGGAAATTTCATGACGAGTTAGCCGCACTGTTATACGGAAGTCCTCTATGATAAGTGGACCTCATTACCCGTGCTAACCCGTTCGACCCGCCGTTCCTCCCGTGAGCAAACATGGGCTCCACATGGGCTCAGTTTGGCAAGGTTACATTGCCGTAAAGGAGGGATTGGGAATCCAATATACCATCCATCTTGATCCTCATCCACCACAAAGTACAGCTCCGTAGAACAGCTCCAGCCAGCCAGCTCTGCGCAACTGTTTTCACTTCCTTGGTTACCAACCAAAAGGCGGATAGCCAAACTCACGGGTCCAAACAGCTTTTCCTGCGTTGAGTTTCCCGGCACCACTTTTATCTGCTACTGCTGAGACCGGGTTGTGACCAACCGACACTAATGCATTGCCCAGGGAGTGGAAGTACGGCTGTGTGATGCGATGTGATGTGATGTGACCATGCATGTGAATTCTTGCAGGCAAAGCGATAATAGCAAGGTGGAGGGGAAAGTCGATCGGGGGGGCCCCCGGGGGCCAGTCCTTTCTGAGCTTCGTCGTCTTTACACGTCATCATGGAACCACGGAAGCTGTCTGCAGTACCACGTACGACTCAGGAGATGGCTGCATCCCCGATCTTTAAGCGGACAACATTCTTCCAATCGCTGCCTTCAGTTGCCACCATCCGGTTGCGTTTTGGTTAGATATATATACAAAACCATGTGCTCTTGGAGCGCCCAACGCATGCAGGGGCTTTCTTTCAGGTTTCAGCTGGACCAGGTTATGAAGGATGTTTGGTGATGGTAGCGCTTGACCAGCAGCTGAAGTTGGCGAACCCAATCAGCAGTATCTGTCTGGCTAAGGAGGGTAAGAAATAACGTGGCGTGCTGCTACGGCATACCAGTCTGGGTAGCTCCAACTTATTTCAGCCTATTTTTTTCTTGTTGTGTTGAATGCTAGGCTAAAAGTCTCCTATGCGTTTTATGAGTTATCTATCTCAGACTGGGGATGCCGTGGAGTCTGGACTGGCCGTCGTAGGGTCCGTATGGGTCATTATTCAGTCTTCGGAGAGTAACGCAATTCAAGGTGTAACAACACACAGACACACATATATCATCAATACGAGCGAATCCATCCACTCTTTAAGGAAAACCGTGTGGATGAGCCCCTGCCAATCCATAGTAAGGAAATAATGAAATCCGTGTAACGGCGCTGCCTAATCAGGCACCAGGGAACTACCATCCATCAAAACTGACGAAGAGATACAGAGAACGTTTGGATTGGTTGGGATGGTCGGGCCAGAGGGGTGTGTGTGTGTGTGTGTGTGCTGGGGGGGGCCTGGCTGGGAGGAACACAATATGCATGCATGTCAGCAAGCAAGCAGTCGCAGCAGCAGCAGCAGCAGCAATAGCAATAGCAAAAATCTATTTTTTTCCTCTTTCGCCTCCACGTCGCCTCCACGTAGACTTCTTGAATACATCATCACATTGCACGTTCCGATAATACCCTTTCTTCTTTTTTGCCGCCGTAAGTTCTACACGGCACCAACGCCACCACCACTTCGTTTTCCGTCCTTTCTCTGATTTGATGATAAGACTTCCCTTCCATCTCTTGGTTAGGTAGTTTTTCTGCTGCGTTTTTTGCCTTCTGTCTTCTTTGGACTATGAACTTGCCAGCTAGTGTTTCGCTCCGCAACCCAGCTGGTCCCGCGTCGCCGCCATATGACTACTTTCCAAGTCATTAGCTTATTGGCCTGTAGCTTACAAATATATTCCTGATGCAGCAGCATTTGAAAAGCTTCTCCTGGCACTACATATATCCGTTTATTATCTCCCCTGGTATCTCTCCTTCATTCGCCAGTGGTTCATAGTCTTACGTCTTAACCCCCCTTTCCCTTCTCCTGCTCCCCGTCTCGCCTTCCCTTCCAGATCATCGGCGTGGAACCCGAAGGGGCCAACGCCATGGCTGTGAGCCTGGCCCGGGGGGAGCGTGTGGTGCTGTCCAGGGTGGATGCGTTCGCGGATGGAGTGGCGGTGAAACAGGTGGGGGGGGGGAGAGGAGGGGAGTGGGGAAGGAAAAGGAAGAGCGATCGTTATCCAGACGCAAATGCGAATGCCCTGAGAGCTTAGGAGTAGTAATGGAGGGGGAAATGGGGGGAGACACCGGGGGTTACGTGCCGTGTGTCGCGTATATGTGTATCTGTGTGTGTGTGTGTGTGTGTGTGTGTGTGTGTGTGTTTTGAAAAATGATGCACCTTGTTTCTGACACGCGGGGCCCCCCTTTCACTCACACACAACCAACCACAACCAACCAACTAACTAACCTTAGACCCAACCGCCCATCGATTCCTTGCACATGTTGCATGGATTCCACCTCACCCACTGTAACGCTTTGTAACTTTCCCTTTCCCACCAACCCCTACACCCCCTAACATCACCATCACTCATCTGCGGTCTTCGTATTCCCCCGCCCCCTCCTCCGTGGGCCGCCGACTCGTCAGTTATGCCTTCTTCACTTCTGGCGCATCAGTCTTTCCTTGGCAGCAGCTTCACTTGCTCGTGATTCGTCTTTCCCCTCCTCCTCCCCCACCCCCACCCCACCCCCATCAGGTTGGTCAGGAGACCTTCCGCCTGTGTCGTGAACTGGTGGACGGTGTCGTACTGGTGTCCAACGCCGCAGTCTCCGCCGCCATCAAGGACGTCTTTAACGAAACCAGATCCATTTTGGAGCCGGCCGGGGCGCTGGCGGTGGCGGGGGCTAAGGCCTGGCTCAAGGAGTACGGCATGAAGGGTGAGGGGGCGTGTGTGTGTGTGTGTATAAGTGTACGTATGCATGTCGGTCGGTCGGTCGGGGTTTTCTTCACATGTGCGTGTATGTGTGGTTAATGGGCTGGGGTGTGTGGTGTTTGTGGGGTGTGGGAGGGCAAGTGGTTAGGTTTCCAACAAGCAAGCTTCCCCCCTCTTGACCAACTCTTCTTTATCACCTGCTCTACCTTTGTTCCCACCCCTTTTGACTCCTTTGTTTTTTGCATGTAATCCCCCCCCCCCACCTACTACTGGTCAGTTCTGCTCCTTGGCAGCAGCTTCACTCGTTCGTGGTTCATCTTTTCCCCCACCTCCCCTCTTTTTCCCCCCTTCACCCCCATCCCATCCTATCCTATCCGTTTATTATCTCTGGTATCTTCCCTT